TGTTTTTTGGCCATGCCATGCAGCTTGTGGGATCTTAGTTCCCTGACCAGGGATTGAACCCGGCCCCGGCAGTGAGAGCGCAGAGCCCTAACCACTGGATCGCCAGGGATTTCCCCCAGATTGGTGTTCTTTCTGTTTCCTCCAACATCCTTACCCATCTTCAGTGATTCTGAAAGTGGTAGAAGCATTGCCCATTACTGGAGACTCAGGTTTGAGCAGGGAATAAGCAAAGGACAAATGTCTTAGGGATCTGGGAAACGGGAGGGCCGCCCCTGGGAAGCTGAGGGCCGGGCTTCACGGTTGGGTTTAGACACTGACTCACCTCCCGCCCTGCTGGGAGGTTTCGGGGATCCCAGTGTTTCAGCTGCTGCAGCTCCACACTTGGCCTCAGACCACACAGGCCTTGCTGGAGTCGTTGTGAAGGTTGATGAGGTAATCCTTGTAGAACTCTGTTAGCTCTGCGGACGAACACCACAACCGTGTCTAGAAATGATGGAGTGCCCGCCATTCGGCCCACACTTTTCTACCCCGACTTGGTTTATCAGATGTGGCTATACTTCTGCCAGTTTAACATCTTATTGTCATCGGTTAGCTTAGCATTCTTGTCTTTTTTTACCTACCCCACCCCTGCCAGTCATTCTTAACTTGGATTATTGAAAGGTGACTTATTCTAGTTCCTTGAGTTTCAAAATAACATAAGGTCTCGGGCTTCCCTGGTGGCGCAGTGGTTGAGAGTCCGCCTGCCGATGCAGGGGACACGGGTTCGTGCCCCGGTCCGGGAAGATCCCACGTGCCGTGGAGCGGCTGGGCCCGTGAGCCATGGTGCCTGATCCTGCGCGTGCTCCGCAACGTGAGAGGCCCGCGTACCACAAAAAATAATAATAATAATAACATAAGGTCTCCACCACTTCCTTAAGTCCTCTGTACCTTGGTTACTCCATTTGCCAAATGAGGAAAAGAGGGCTGTGGTGAAGGTTAAAAAAGTTAATGTATGTGGAACAGGGCCTGATACACAGAAAGTGCTAAATAAGCACTCCCTCCCTCCCCGCCTTTAGCTCCTGTCAGTGTAACTAATTGAAAATGGATGACAGTATGTGAATACATGCATTCAGTTAAAGATATAACGTGCATTCTTACTGTAGTGCTTAGTGTAGTGTATAGTGTTTCTCTGTTTCCGAGGGGACGCGATGAAGATTTCTGTGGGTGAGGTAACAAGGCTTTGAGCCTACGAAGATGTAATCATGACAACAGGGGGAGAGCTGGGCTGCCCAGGCCCCGAGATCTCTCAGTTTTCCCATTCAAAATTTGCTTTCTCAGCTGTCTTGTTCGACACTGCAGCCTCAGCACCCAGGTACTCAATCAATATTGGCTTATGAATGAATGAATAAATTTATGAGTCTATCCAAAGACAGAGCAATGGAGGATGGCCCCAAGGAAGGAAGTCTGGCTGACCCTGTGGATTTTCCAGGAGAAAGGAGATCAACTTTTCAAACAGAGAGGATGAGGAATAGACATGTAGGAATAGTGTAACTGTTGCCTGATGGCTAGATTCCAAGCCTGGAGATAAAAGATAGAGGGATGGCTGTGCAGTTGGACAAGTTGGCCCAAAGAATCATTGGGTTTTGTTTCTGTTTTTTAATGAAGTCAGATACCTCAAGAAGGCCATGGAGAGTGTTTCTTTTTGACAGCGGTACTCTGCAGAGATCTCCAGTTGTTAAAAGGGATCATTCGGAAGGTATCACAAAGAGCTCCTTATTGGAGTGTCTGTCTCCCTGAAAGTAAATCCTTATCCTTTGTACTCAGGGTGTTTCTCTGTTAATAATAGCCTCCTACTATGACCCCAAGTTTCACAGCCTCCTGAAAGTAAAAGCTGCTCTTTGTGTAGGCATTTTTTGTTTTCCATCCCTACACACACTCCTACCCAATTGGTGTCATAGTTATGCCATCGCTACTAAATGCATCACCACTGAATCAAAGGACAAGCAGAGCAACTGTCTGTGCTTCCTTCTCTTCCTCATCGTGTTTATTTAGGTTGAAATTGTTTTCCGTAAGAGTCAACAAGCATTGACCCAGCACCCTCTGTGAGCAAAGCACTGTGCTAGGTCACAAGCACAGCATAGAGTTGGTTGGGCGTGGTTTCTGGCCTCGAGAATCTTACGTTGGTCTGCAGATGGTCACGGTGACTGGTGAAATGCTTTGGCGTCTCTCTTCAACCTTTCCAGTATATAGGTTTCTCTTAATTGGACTTGTCACTTTAGGATTTCGTTGAAGGTGAACTTGAGTGCATTCGATTTAACAGAGTCTCTACAAAACCCCCCTGATCCCTCTATCCGGATGTTCCCTCTGCACTTTATGTGCACTTACGTCATTGTATTATATTTATTTATGTACATGTCAGCCTCCATAATCTGGGGAGGGAACAGGCACAGGGAAAGGAGCCCGGGGAGACAGAAGACCTGTGCTTGTTTTTGAAGCCAGCCCCAGGTATGAATCAGCCATGAAATCTTGCCCACACAACTTAATCCCTCAGATCCTCAGTCCTGTATCTAGAATTGGAAGATAGTAATAACGCCTATTTCACAGCATGGATGTGAGAATCAAGGTAGTTATCATATGAATGTGCTGTCAACTATTATTCATATGCTAGTTTTATTATCCCCTGAATGATCTAGCAAAAGGCCTTGCCCATGAGAAATACTTTATTAATATTCATTCACTCATTGAAAAATGACATCAACCACCCTGTGGTGTAGTATTCTTGTCACTCACGTTCTTTTTGTAGCCCATATTGTTAGTAGGTTTATCTGTAATGCCCTGCTAGGTTCCGGGAGAGTATTTGTAGGGATCAAAGGGCCCTGCTTGCCAGTGGAGCTGCCCTTTGAGATAGTAGGGTCCAAAGCCCCCTCCCCACCCCCCATATTTCATATGTCCTGCTTCTATCTTAAGGGCAGGGAGTACCAGAGAAGCCCTAGAAGTTAAAGCATGGGCTTTGGAGTAAGACAGTCCTGGGTTCAAATCTTGGGTCAGCCAGTTTACTAGTTGTGTGATATGGGGTAACTTTCAAATTTTTCTGAGCTTTCCTTTTTTTGTATGTGTGTGAAATGAAGATAACACAGGGTTGGACAATTAAAAGTCGATGATGTATTGAAAGGAGATAATGTGAGGAATTCTGAGTTAAATAAGCTCAACAAGAGTGAACTACAATGATATCCATCCCGAATCCTTGTACATTAATTGAGCAAGTACTATGGGTTGGGCCCTACATGGGTGCGGGAGATAGACGCTGTCATCAGTGGGAAGACAGACAAGTCCTAGATGATTGCATGTACAGTATGTGCAAGAGCTGGGACAGAACAAGAACACGGTGCTCTGGGAACAGGAGAGCACCTGCCTGGCAGCCCTGACCGGGAGGATCAAGAGCTGTCAGGGAAGGCTTCCAGGAGGAGGTGATTCCTGTGAGAGCCTTGCGGGCTGAGTAGGAGTGAGCCAAGGGGACAGAAGGAGTACGGCCGAGCCAGGACACTGACATCTGAGAAGATGCCCCTTCGGGAAAACGGAGCAGCTCTGACAAAATGCAGCCACGAGGGTTTGTGGATGCCAGGTCATGCGGTTGGCTCCGTGCAGGAACTGATGCTTTGTTTGGAGGCGCTGATGGATGTGCCCCCTCCCGAGAGAGGACATTTAAGTGGAGAGCATGGGGTAAAGTATCCTGAAGTCGTGAAATCAACACCGATGCGGAGCTTCCCAGATCCTCAATCCTGGTCAAGCCCCACGTGTGACTTAATCACCCCACGTAACCTCTATACCTTTGTGGTCAACCAGCGATCACACCCAACCCCTCGAGTTACTTCGAGGACTAGATGGAATTGTTTGGGCACAAGTTGGCAGCAAAGTGTGTGTCACCAAGTAAGCATTTTGCTAAACATCAGTTCTCTGTGCCTCAGCACTGCGTCGCGAAAACACGAAAGCCACGGCGAGGCCCGTCTCCCCCTCCCTCCCCGCCTCTCCAGCAGGGTCAGCGACCGCCTCACGCCGGGCCAGGACGCCAGGATGTGCACTCGGCTGACCAGCAGAGCGGCCGCCGCCACCGCGCATGCTCCGCGGGCCGCCTGGACCCCCGCGGGGCGGCGGGCGGGGCGGGCCGCGCGAGGACGCCTGCGCAGACCCGCGCCGCCGCTCGGTCCAGTGCGGCAGCTGGAAAACCGCAGCTGCGGCGGCGGAGGCGGCGGAGGCGGCGGAGGCGGCTACAGCGCGGGCGGCCGCAGGGGAAGCGCGGGGCAGGGCTGGCCGGGCGGGGCCCGAGCGCCGGGCTGACGGCGTCCGCAAGGCGGAGGGCGCGGGGCGGCAGCGCGGCGGCGGCGGCGGGGAGCGGGCGCCAGGAGGGACGGCCGCGCCGCAGGGACTTTGACGTTCTCCGCGGCGGCTCCGGCGGTGCCGGGTGGGGGCCGCTCGAGTCCCCCGGCCGCGTCTCCCGCGAGTCCCAGCGGCTCCGCGC